AAGCAGAGCTTGATTCAATCGCCCATACTGGCGATTGCAGATCAGGACAGACTATTATCGGGGTCCGTGACGCCAGCGATTTGCAATCGGCTGTGCATTGAAGCAACTTAATACAAATGGCGCAGAGCGCGTCATCTGATATCAATATCGACATCTGCAAGCATCTGAACGTAATTATCCAGTGTATGACAAGGAACTACATGCCATGAAGCACGCACTGACTAAGTTTGTATCCATCTCGTGGTAGATAGACCGTTCGTACTTTATACAGACCATGCCCCCAACGGACGGACGTAAACAGTCTTCACCTCTCGAAACGAATGGTAAGGGGGCTGTTTTTCTATGTGTAGTACAATTTCTTTGTCAAATCATACAAACCAGGACGACTAGATCTCGTCGCTGACGCCCTATCGCGCCGACCCGATTTTAGTTCGGGCGCGCAATCCAATAGTGAGAATAATATCACTGTTGCAACACTCAGAGCCAGTGTCCCATCGTCAATTTTTATTAATGACGTAAGCAAGACCTACGCAAAAAAGGATCTTCTGCGCTTGATGGATCATCTAATGAATCCAGCTCGAACATCGCTGAAAATTTTACCGGCCTTTGTACCGATCCTCTTCGGATCGGTGCGCAACGCGCAACGGGCTGCTTTTTTATACAGCCGTTGCCGGCGACACTCCTCGTGTCGTCGCCCCCACTCATAACAACTTGCGCTTACGCATCATATTTGATTGTCACGATGCCCCAACAGGCGGCTATCGTGGTAGGGAAATTTTTTTACCTGACGGTAAGTCGTGACTTTTACTGCCCTTGCCAGTTTCAGCTTGAGCGCAAGTACATTCGATATTGCGAGGTTTGTCAACGGGCGAAGACCAGTAATTCATCCCGTGCACCCTTACAGCCTCTATCTGTCCCGGCAGAGGACTGACAGTCCGTTTCAATGGACTTAGTATACAGTTTCCTTGAAAACGCTCACAAGAATAATGGTATTCTTATGTTCTTCGATCGGTTCAGCAAGATGGTAGATGTACCTTCTTGCTTCGGGTCCCGATTCTATTGCTGCATACGGATGTGCGCGTGTCTATATCGACGCATGCTGTCGACTCCATGCATTGCCCTGCGAGCGGGTATTGGATCGATACTCTCGGTTCACGGCAAAGTTTTAATAACCCGTTTTCGCACACTGGTGACTAGGTTATAAGCGTAAACCCGTCATCGACCTGAAAAGGATGGTTAGACGGAACGTGCTAACCGGGTCCTCAATGAGATTTTTATTGAGGAGACGCCCACTCGTTTTTAAGTTGGAGTGATTTCTTGCCGTGTTTTTTAAATTCGCTATTAACAACTCTTTGCATGCGTTTACAACGCAAAAACGTTTTACGAGAATGGCATCGGCACCCACGTCTCCCCTCATTGATACAAAGTGGATCTGGAATAAGAGGAATAAGGAATCGCTCACGAAAGACCCGTTTTTCTCTTGCTCATCACATATCATCGTTTACGCCGATGCGTTTATATCCGATGTCGACAATGTCGATATGGAAGAAGACGTGTTCAGCTGTTGCAACGACGCTGCTGCTGCCTCAGGCACTGATGACGATGCTGGAATATGTACATCGTCAATGACCATGCCATCAAGAAAATTGATACTTTCAATGAAAAAGAGAAAGGCCTCTTGGCAGTGCGTAAGAAGCGCACTGAATGACACACTAACGAGCGAGAAGAAAAATCTCCTGCTGACTCGAGAATCGGTAGTATGTTTCGTCAAGATCCATCGCTAACGCGGTGGACCGCCAGAACAGGAAAGCAGACTAGAATGTAAGCGCAGATATCCTTTTATTTAAGGACAAGTCCCTAGTAATACTGTCTGCGGTAAAATAACCTTAGATACGCCTTCACTAATGTCGGCAGTAGTAAATCTTTGCCGCAATACATCGGCCGCTTTCGTGTATTACACTGTGAAGTAAATGCTTACACGATCAAGTATCCTCGTAGGATGCGAACACATTTTTCGTTCTATGTAGGTCGTCTCCGATTGTACTAACATTACAAGGTCTCTTTTGAGAGCGGAGGAAGCTTGTAAAATCAGAACTTCTCAACGAAATCTTGTCATCACGAACCAAAAGTTTAGGCTGGTCCTTCAGCAACGCGTTCTCGCATCGAGCTGTTGCTAGCCCGTCGCGCAGGAGATGACGCTTGCGTTCTTATTAAACTGAGCGAGCGTGAAGTCCGAAACGTTTCTTTCATTCGATACGATAACGTTGCACGCTCACCATCAAGTCATGACGACGATTGTACTCGTGCTCCGCGTCCTTCCTTCACTCGGTCAGGACGCGGTTATATTTGTCAAAAATCTCTTGCAGGCCTGGCGGCTGGGCCGGACCTGGCCATTCCGCCTCCGCCTGAGCCGCTGGTGGGATCACACGGTGGTAGACGCTTTTACGAGGAGCCTTTTTATGAGTTACTGCCTGCATAATGGGGAGCGGGAAAAGTTCGTTGTCTTCTGTTTCGGTTATCTACACTCTTTAAAATAGTTGGTAATCTCGGTCACAACTGATGGCAGATAATGAAAATCTTGTTTGGCAATTCGACGAGACGCATTCATTGAGTCGTCGGGTTCATCGGTTAACACGCGCTGTTGGCGCTAGTAGACGGATTGAAAGTCCGCACCCGGAATGTGTGCCCTTCCCCAATGCGAAGTTTGGCGAAATACTTCCCTTAAGCCCCGATGCGAGTTTCGACACGAATCGCACATGTTTGACCCCATGTGAGTCAAGGAATGCCTGCCTCACGCGATAAAAAATGCAGCCGATACATTGCACCGTTTGGCGATCGTTTTTCAACCTTGATGCCTACTGCCTCAACTTTTTAGACCAATGTTTTAAGACCAAAATCCTTTACATTTTAGACGAACACGTTCCATGCCGCCAAAAGCGGTTCTTATGCGCTTTTGGTTGCTATTGTACCATAGATGCTTAAAAATCCATCATGATAGAATTATTCTGCATCGCGAAAGTTGCTCGCGATAAAGGATAAGCCATAGATCCCACTCGCATCAAATAATAGATCTCGATTGTGCTGGCTTGTCTCGTCAGAAATGATATTAGAAAAGTCTCGAACAAGCGCTTCGACTTAAGCTCCTCGCACTTCAATGTGACATTAATGTCGGTACTACGGTCATCATAGTGGCGATAGCTCGCGCCATAATTGACACGTTCGTGCGAAGGCGCACGAGCTGGCTTTGATGATGAGTACCCTGTACTAGTACTCATCAATATTTTCTTCAGCATCGCTACCGATCGACGCGATTCACGAATCTATCGTTCAATGTGGCTAAATGATGACCTAGGTTAAGACATTGAGGATAATCCGGGTGTCTCTGAGGCCTTTTTCTAGTCAGACGCATCTGACTTACCAGAGTAGATGACCCCGACCTCGGTATCATCGTATGCACGTGGTGCGATACCACTGCGTCTCCATCAACAGGGGCTCCGCGACAGACGGTTCGTCTGCCGCGGAGACTTGCTCAGCTAAATGATGTGCCTTCTTTATGTGTTCCTGCACAGACACATTACCTATGCGAAGCATGGTCAGGAATGAATGGATCTGACCATACAAAAGCTCCCTGTCCTAAAGTTGCCCAACGGGTGGCCTTAGAGGTGCGATAGTCACACGGTGACTATCAGGTAACAGGTGGGGTGGTGTATCGGGGTACACGGTTAAATAACAATAGAATTGTGAGAAATGGTAATTAAAAGCATTACATCGAATATTTTTTAACATCATTACTTGATATTTTTAAATAGTTAAGATGACCCAAACTTCTACGTATTTATTGATATTGTGATTATAGCAACTCACCAATTTCTGATATACGCGCGCAATGGATGGTGAGTAGACGTCATCATACACTTATTATATCGATATAATTAAGTTAGGACAAGTAAGAAAACTAAAGTTTTAGGACTTAATTATATTAAACAACAGTATTCACTTTTTTAACGATCATTCCTCTGTGTATTGTCTATACCTAGCAGGGAACTGACCTTCACTATTGTCAGTGATTGTTAACTCCGTATTGGTAGTCCAGAACTAAGTTGTCGGTGCCTCGTTACAATTTCTGTTGGTGGGTTAATACGAAAAATCATCTAGATTTACAAGATATACAGAAACGCCGAAGTTTACGTGCACTTCATTGGCCTATTTATGATTACTGAACGCAATTTTTATGTCAAAAAATATGCTTTAACATAGCTTTTTCTTTTCATAACGCTATTGAAGTATATACTCTACGCGGTAGTGACGTTTGCATTTTAATGGTATATACTCGTCCACTATGCCCATAGTTTGCGCGTCGACCCTCCGCAAGTAGACTTACATAAGGCTAACATGTGGACGACATGAGCTAACGAGTAAGGTGTCTTTAATTTGGATTGTAACTTTTAAAAGGTGTTTGTTATTATCGTCGATTAACTTGATAGGCCATACTGTAAAAAAAATAGCCGCAGAGATTATACCACTTTTCGTTCGAATTATGTACAAACGTTGCAACATCCTTAATTTATGTCATGCCAGCTGCGCCTGTGTCGGATCTGTATATTCTATGTGGAACGAAAGATGCGCATATCTCGATTCACCCACATGGTCACAAGACATGTGAAATATATTGATTCCTTTATGCGACCAGATCATTTTTGTTCCCTACTGGTATGTTAAGGCTGGTCACCTTACGCATCTACTAAAAAGTACTTAGACGATGTGTTGATCAAGAAATGCTGCCGAACTGCAAATTTACAAGCAACTCCAATCGGCGGGTGGTTATGCTACCTGCGCGTTGTACGAGCTCTGTCTACATACTTGAAGCGAATGGCCTTGATCATTAAATTTCGCAGGCTTATATAAATACGATAAAATTAAAACACTATAAGCACGTTACATTTACACTCACGCCCAAATCCGTAAGGTAGGGTTTACAACTTGTTTTTACAACATCGAGCTCAATCAAGCACACTAGTCATAGCGCCGTCGGAGTGCGCACGTGGCGAGTCGACCATACAAAGACTCTCAACGGAAGCTGTACAGAAACTGTTGTCGAGCGAAAAGTTGTGAGCTAGTACATCCAGCGTACTAGGCGTCAAAGGATTGAACACTTCGGCGCTCTCAGGGTGCAGCATTTCCTGTCTCTGAATCTCTTCGGCGTCCAATTGCTTAACAAATTCTCGACAAGCTGGGCAAATGTGCACCGAAAACTTCCTTGCCCGACGATATGGATCAATCTCATACAAATTCTTCTTGATGCGACAATTGGAGCACAATGGAGCTTTGCACAAATTGCAGATGCGGTGCACGGCTCTTGACTTCCAGATTGTGACCACACTCTTCGAGCATGTCGCGCAGCACTGGTCCAATTTTGCATGAAGCGCCTTTGAGGTGTTGTTATGCACGCGGTGATCGATGCACCAACGCAGCTTCTTGGCATAGGCAAAATCAGGCACGGTCCAGACCTGCTCTATGCACTTGGCCGCGTGCGCCATAGCCAGAGGCCCGAGGATGCTTCCCATATCGGCCTCCATACTGTAGCTCTTAATGAACAAGTCGACCGTTCCGTTGGGACGTTCACGATATATTGAGCCAATGACGATACGCGTACGTCGCAGTCCGTCCACGGGAGGAAAAGCTGGGTGATCAATCGAGTGATGTACTTCGTAGCCAATGAATTCGCCCGTGTCGTGACGCCTTATGGTACCGGTGCCTCCTAGAAACATCACTTCTCTGGGCGCCACGAGCTTTCCGGAGACACCACGCGGCGGTCGCACCTCAATCCACTTTAGCGCAAGAAATCGAAATGGATCTTCCTCCGTCGGTCCCAGTATTTGCTTGAGCACAGCCCCGTTGCCAATGTTCTTGTCGACCACAGCGCATTTGAGCGCCATGGCTTGACTATTGCCCATGAAAACGCCAAACATGAGCTCACTAAGAGGACATTGTACAAAACCCATACCGAGAACCACGTCCTTGGACGGCCTCGATGTCGTGCTGCGTCCACCGTCCGCCGCCACGTACGCAGCTTCGGGGGCGTCGTCGCACCGCGTGTACGTGGTGAAGTGGTCTTTGTGATGAATCTTCTTCCATAAGCGCGGGTCTTGCTTGTCATGTGAGCGAGGATCAACGTCGTGCTCGTCCATATCTCGCAGCGTGCGGTCCAAGAGTTGCATGGCCATCTCTCGAAACGTCAATAGGTCTTCTTCCGAAATCTGCGCGGCCTGTAGCGGCGGCTGTACAGAGATCGCGACCATCGCTTTAGGTCGAAAATTGATGTCTGATAGTGTCCAAGCGAACCTAACGGCTGTGTCACCATACGCATAAGGTGCGTGCGGACAAACTACGAGCACTAGACAACTGAGCGATGGCGCATGTGCTACGCAGAACAAGACGTGGTACAGGATTTGTGGCTATTATGCAATATCAAGATGAACAGGTGATATATGTCTCATTTGGCGTTTCTCCGTTCCCCTTTGAATCTTATAACATTACGAGCGATGCGGAGTATGCTGTTTAACAAAGACAGTGAAGATGGTGGGGTTCTGATTTGATGACCCGAGGTCTGAAGCGCAACCTGGCGGAACGCCCCACGCTAGGCAGCAGGCCCTACAACGTCTCGATCGAAATAGACAGTCCATCTAGATTTTAAGCCTATAAATGGGAGCGGCTTGTTTGTCAACGTGGACGATTGCATAGTAACGCGTCCGATTTTGTTGAATAAGAAACGGATCATGGTTGCAGTCGTTGGCTGTTGATACCGCTCGTGAGCCTATCCACTCGACATAAAGCCGCAGACTATCAGCATACACTTGCGTCGAATTCAGACTCACAATACTTTATGCAGGCGGCAGGTTTCATGTGTTACGTATGAGAACTTAACTTGTGCGCGGTAGCAGCCTTGTCGACAGTACATATTTCGTCATGTCAATGCCTCGTGACTTGTGGTTAATATAGCATCGATAATGGTGTGTTGCAAAAATTCATTTTTCACCAGTTAAGGAGCAACGTTCCTCGTGGCACGACAAACACACGAGAATAGTATTGATAGGGAGATAATTATGGTTCAGCGCGATCTCGACCGCTTCTTTTTCGCTGGTCGTAAACTGTCGAAATTCGAAATGAATCAATATAAATTCCTGACTTCCTTTGAAAAGTGTCACACATTTCACGTATAGATAAGAGTTCGTTTTGGGCATTCCGAGCTGCAAGTCTCTCATCACTCACTACGTGTCAGGCAATTGTTGCCATAGTAAATATACTATGTCTGCTCCTTCGTGTAGCGCGAGGAGGCCGAACTTCAGCTCCTTATGCAAGCGCTTCGCGCCTATACATACGACTTAATTGTGTGATTGCTGTTTGCATCGTTTTAAATGCGGCAAACTTTCAAAATTACAACGCGAGGTGCTTCCATTTGACTACCGCCACGATAATGCTATCATTAGGCGATTTAAGATGTAGACTTTCGTGACTAGAATTTAGGAGATAGCAGTCCTTTTGCGTATAAATTATATCTACGTTGCTAGAGAGCATGTGCTGGAAGCTCTTCCTTTTCGCCAAAGAAGCAGACGACCGACTTGTTCGATATCGAATGTTATATACGTTTGCTAGCGCAAAAACCAAACATATATTGCTTCTTCAGTAAATTCGAGACGACTGAAGCCATATTTACCACATCATAATGTCCTTGACGATATCACGCTTGCGTCCGCAATTACTGAATATAAATTGGATCTTGTTGTGAATTTCATGACAAAGTCTGACATCCGCAACATCAGGCAGCCAGTAACTGTACTTATGTGAGATACAAGCCATTCGCACGCGCAATGCTTTGACAAAATACAATTAAAAATACTTTATAATTTCCTTACGACATACTGTACAAATTTACGCTATATTTCTTGAATGATCACATTCTATGGAAAAACCATGCCTCGTGGCGCCGATTCCGCTCAGCGGCAAAATTGCCCTTTAGGATGCGAAAACAGATCTGATCGAATAGATCAAGGTAAATGATTGATTTTACAAGATTTATACATTCAAACATTACGTACAAGTACGTTTATACCAAATAGAGTCGCGCTCCTCCAGTAGCGAATAAATTATCCACCAGACACCGAAGCTATGATAAACAGTATGTATTTTCGGTAGTATCACAATTCTTAAAGCGTAATTATCAGCAAAATAGGAATAGTGGCTAGCGCATGCTATAAGGTAGATAATAAAGCTGACGAAAAAAATGATAATATTACAGATATTCAAATGTACATGTACCCATAATTAGACAGCGATGAGAACTTACCCGCGACCTAAACTTGAAAAATGATTTGAACGTAAATTTTAACAAATAATAAAAAAATTATCATGTTTCAATTTGAATAAAATATATTCAAATATTGTGGAGCAAGCTTAATTAGGCAAAAAGAATGCGTTTTTTTGTTAATTGTTTGCTAAATCGAAACAATTTTGGCCAAATACAAGATGGTCCGAATATATTACTGAATATAACACATTTAGAGACAGACGACGTATGAATGAAAGATTACAAAAATAATAGTAGCAATTTGGCAACAAACAGATCCATGATAAATTAATGCGCTCATTTATAGAACCTAGACTTAACATGTATCAGTTTATTAAAAGACATAAGCGCATTGAGAAATTGAATTTCGTGAAAGTATTCTTCGTTGTACATCGTATTATAATGCAACGAGGAATAAATCTATGCATCAAAAATTTATCACATGCGTCACGTTACTAGATAGCAAATGTATTCACTCGCAAATTCGAATATTAAACAATTATAATTTTGATCTATGACTCAGAACAAGCCTAATAAATCTCTCACACAGATATCGGGGCATAGAAGGTACATAATTTGTCAGTGTCAAATTGCTAATGCAAATGGCGACCTTCCCTTTTTTCCTGACAGTATAACAAATAGTGAAAGTTCTCCGATCGGTAGACCGTCATACGTCCTGTCACCAAGTTTGTGTCCGTCAACTAAGACGGCTTAAGCATTTCCTCGGGCTTAAGAATAGGTCAATTTTGCTTGCATTTTGGCATTTGCCCATAATAATCAACGGATAGCCCTACATATTGATGTGATACTATCAATCATGTTGAGAATCGGTCGATCTGTTTTAGTAAATACTTCTTCCCCTAAAACCAATGTTAAATACAGATTATTCCAATCTTTTTATAAATGAAGGCGTATCGGATTCTTACTTCCAAAATACTTTTGTTTCAATGTGGGATGTGATCTAGACCGATCCTTTTATTTAATTATTTAAACGTACGCAAGTTTGCTCTGCGATTCACTTGACTGCGCCGCCTTCTTCCTCATTTAATCCTTGTACAATTTTCTTTACATGATCATGTTATTCCACTTGATGGAAAGATATGATTAATTATGTCTCGTTCGGCAAAGTTTTGTACTGCGTTTAGCCGCAACTCATTGTAGTTAGTGGCTTGCTACCCCTTGGCCACATACACATCAGTATTAAAATCTTCTTGCACATGAGCCCCGTGTTGTTATCCGCCGGAAAAGCAAAATATGATTTCTGAGAGATAAGACGAATATCGTCGCTTTACACGCCCAAATAGATCTCCTTATATGATAACCTACAATAATCGGGCCTGTGAACAGCCCTTCCTTATGTTGCGACGTACCCTTAATGCTCGTAGCTTATTTGGGATAAATATTCTTCTTTACTTATTAGTTATCAATAGTGTCCCCAAACTTTTCGTTAATTGCATCTGACTTGTACTCCGATATTGACGCAGGTATATAACAGCATATAGCATTTATTTTTCAAGAAAAGTTAGTATCACGGCAGTTACATTGTTCCCGCAATATTTTAGCGATCTTTACGGCTAAAAATTGGCGACTACCGCTGGTCCTTCATATTGTAATGGATAAATCCAGTCGTACATTATCACAAGAATCTCAATTTTATTTCATCGATGGGTCATTTATAGACAGAGACATCTTAAAAGCGACCACGGCCGACCTAATGAGGTGAGCCTGTTACATGTCATTGACACACAATGTGCCAATGAATAATTATCTGAATCGATTGAGCTTATTCACTTTCTAATATTACTCGTGCGATTTCAATAGTAGAGATATTACCGATAGAGGTGATACTCGGCACTGCTTCAAAATTGGTTGGTATAGGCTATATATCAACCGAATACACCACGAACCGCTGCTAGCGCGCTATGGGTGGTGAGTGATATTCTACATTGAGAGTTTGTATTTTTATAAAGTGTAAGTAAGATAAAGAGGGTTTGTTAACCAGGCTTAACTGTGTAAAAGATGATTATTTTTCTTTACTTCCGAGCAACCCCTTCCGCAATTTCTTCTCTTCCTCTATAATTGAGGTTTCCGTGTAGGATTGGGACCATACGAACGTGTAATGTTCCGTGTCAAGGGCATAGAAGTTACAATATGAGACGTAATACTCATTCATGGATCGATCTTTCTCGATACGTGCCTTTTTACATATACTTGCTATATTATTTGACACTCGTGTCTGCAATCTGGTATATGTCAACATGGATTTATAAAAAAAATTCGCGAGCATGGGCCTATAGTGGTAGAAGTATTAAACATGCTAGTAATCTTAAAAACTTTAGGCTCTACTTATTTGCGCAAGACATTAATTATGCACATTTTGCTGTGTCGTATCTTTCCGAACTTATGCAAGTTGGTGACGTCGGCGCTCGCGTCCTTCCTGTTTTCGTACGCATATCTCAAACACCTTCAGGCACTGAGAACGCATTCTGTAGTTTACGCAAACTGGTCTGCATCCATTAACGTAGAATGACACGTCTTATTAATCCGCTTCTGCGACGGCTTCGACCCCTTCGAAATTCAAGACGCGATCTAAAGCGCCGTCCAAATTTTTATCGATATAGTTTTTTCGAAACGCATTTCTAACATAAGATGTGTTCGGCTTATTTATAAATATTGTCAGTTGCACGTGTTGAAACGGCTTTATATTAGAGCGTAAAAATCATCTTTCAAAAGTGCCATTCGTATTTTTCTTGCTATTTGCACTGTACTAATATCTCGGTTTCACTTTAATTAAAGAACGATTGTTTTAAAAGATTATTTAAAGTGCGACTGAGACCAACACGTAGGCGTGATGGACCTGTTAGATTGCAAACTGCAGTCTGCTTGAAATTCTCAGCCAAATTTTTATTCGATTTGACTTGGTAACAATCGGCTACAAAACTTTAGCTTTAGAAA